ATATACTTTTAAAACTCACCCGTTAGTTTTTCGAAGACATGATTTATACTTGGCTGAGACCATTCCACGTAACCAATATCATTGTTGTCCAGTCGGTTAATTGGCTTATATACGGCTGTACACTTAGTCGATACAGCCATACAAAATATTAGCCTTGTCCTCTTAGAGAAGTTCATGTTCGTTGTTGGCTTGGCGAAAATCAAATGAACGTTACAAAAAACATTGAGCACAGGTAAAAATGAAAATCCGTTAATTCAAATTTGAATGTGACAAAGGATGCATCGATGATTATAAAAAATGGCGATAATATGGGGATGTAGGAACTCCGTGGAAACACTCATCGATGCGACGACAAAGGCTTACCCCGAATTATATAGGTACCGGCATCGAGCGAAGTTCCACGAACTTTTGAATTGTTTATCGTAGTCTGTTTATGTCTGTTAAAAACTAAGAATTACGGCATTCAGGACTTATATCTGAGAAAATGATATTTTTAATTGCACCCCGGAAGGAAATATCATACTTTATTAATTTTTATGTAATTTTTACGTACCTACATCTGTATAAAAATATCGATGTAATTCGAATTTTGCACTTAGAACTCTGCAAGTGGTATGGTTGCATTCGAGGGGACCTCAGCTATCTGAGCTTTATATTGAAAAAATTCCCAAGTGTCTAGGACGTCCTTCCTCCAAAAATCAACTACATCATCATTTGTATTCACTTCAGTGTGTCTTAGTATTCTCCATTCAGAGTCCAAATCATTTAGATCAAGACCTAATAAACAATGGAAGTCTGAAGCAGCAGGTGAAATTGATTTTATACTGTCCATGTTTTTGGGATCAAGAAAACCCAAATGTTTTAAACTTTGAACATATTTTGAATTGAAAGGGAAACGTTTATAAAATTGGTGACAACATTCAACCAAAAAGTTTAAACAATTAGTTTTAAAAATTTCCTTGTTTTGAATAGAAAGCCTTATTGATGAAAACTCAGGGCTACCTAACTGACAAAGATTGAACACACGTAACAAAATTAAAAAACAAAAACAACAAAAAAAATTACAAAAAATCCAAAAAACAAAAAAGTACATGCCAATCGGCCATGTTGTGATAGCGCAGGTACTAGAACTGTAGAGAAAAATTTAAAGATAGCTCAGATTAACGTGGAAGGCCTGACTCGATCCAAGACATTTTGGGGAAAAGATTTGGCGACATGGATGTATTGGTGTAACAAGAGACCGACCCACATACCTGAATACCTGATGGTGAAAGAAACCGCCTAAAAATAAATGATTTCGACCTGGTACATCATATTAATCACAATAAACACGGCTTGGCAACATATTATGTAAGTTCAAAACAAATCGTTTCTAGACATTGAACAAGTTGCCAGTAACGAACTACGGTTGGTATTTTGAACTGTCATTATTATAAAACGGTAATGGTTTTTCACATTTCTGAGTTGATCGAACTATAACTTGGTGCTTTTTAGAAAACATGTGTTTTTTTAATACTGTTAATTCAGATGTAATTTCAATATTGCATAACTCACATTTAGCTTTAAAATGGTCGTCTTGTACTGGAACTAACCTATGTTTGAATTCTGTTTTATGAATCCATTCATCGCGGAATCACTTTTGGAATCTATTATACGATGTAACGACTATTCTGTTTTCAACCGACGCAATATCGGTACCTAGTGTATTTAACTATTTTTAATTTATTTCAAAATTGGACGAAATTACATAATAAAAAAACTAGAATAACTATTTTAGCTATTTTGTTGTGATTGTATAATATTATTCGTGGGAACTTGAAATTTCTAAAGTACACTTTTATATACCTATGAATGTATCAGGGTTTGTTGTTGATGTATAACGCGTTTTAAGTACCTACCTAATGGATATTGTGATATGATTAATTTGGAATTTATTATAGGTCAATTGTTTTTAATACCATAGATAAGTATATAATATGTCTTATACCTAGACTATATACCGTCTCCGCTCAGAATCGTTTACTTATACAATGATATTATATCGATTGAAGTAGGGCGTTAGTAAGCTCAGCAAGTAACAACGCACCGCTAACTCCAATATTGGAATGGTAATTTTCTTAATTGGTGTAACTAGAGTTTTTGCTGTTAGCAACATGGGCGCTGAATGTTGGCAAACTGGACATATCCCCCTCCTTGTCTTTTCCGTGTTCTTTTAAATTTAAATATATGCCTAAACATGCGTGTATGTTCAGTTCATTTCAAATCTGGTAAACCAGAAAAATATCAAGACGAAAATGACCCAGATTAGTGTCTAACATTAAATATGGGTTATTGTGTTACCAGAAGGAATAGTATATTATTAGTTGTAGGTTACAATGATGAATTTAGGAATTTAATATGATAGGCTAGTGAAAACTAAATTTACAATGTCATTAAATCAGCAATAAAATCTTTGTTAAATATTAAATATTATTGCTAAAACTGTAGCTACTTCTCCAGTCATAAAAAGGTCTCAAAGAGCTACTAAAGGGATATTTTTCACAAATAGAATAAATGAATCAAATACTACAATTTCAATTAACAATTTAAAAATACCAAATTTGGTTTTACAAATTAGTCCTAATTATTCACCAAAATGTTCTATTTAGGATTTAATTATTAAAGATATTGAAAATGAAGATAAGTCGATCGATACTTTTCCAACTTAGAAAGAAAAACATGAAAACTATCATTATCTTTAAGTGTTTTGGATAGTATTTTAACCAAATCAGTTTTTGATTTATATGTAGGTGAACAATGTGGATCAATAGTTTTTGGATGACTAAAATCAATAGAAGCTATTTTTTTTGTTCTGTATTTTTCTTAGCAAGAGTACCCAATATGCTGAGACATCAGTAACTGACTTTTCTGACTCATTTTTCTTCAAGCAAATGTACTGAAGAAAAAATAGCACAGGTCTAACATGCGAACAACATTCTCCTAGACCAGCCATATAAATATAATGTGCCACTAACACATCTCCGGTTTTTTTTTTAGAAATAGAAACCTTTTAGAATAGCTCACCTATAAATTGTTCAAAGCAGAAGAAAATTAATATTTTTAATAGCAGCTTTTAAGCATAAGCAGCTCACCTCTGAAACTACAAGGGTATTATTATTAATATCAACCCATTTTACATTAGATATCCATCCACATACAAAGAAATTATGTGCTTCAATATTTTTATGAACATTAAATTCTTGTAAAGTGCAAGCACTTATGGTTAAAACAAGGTAATTAAATATGTCAAGATATGTTACATCTAGTATTAAATCCAAATTGTTAGACCATTCAATAGATGGATCTTAAAACATAAAATATGTATCATTAGATTCGATATAACTTATCTTTTCTATGTACCTTTATTTAACTTAATTAGTCATTCCCCTAATGCTATTACTTAGTGTTAAATCCATTATACTTGTAAATTAACACTATTAATACTTGTAACAGTCAATTGTTTATTATGAACTGTTGGAATTATAAACAAAACATAATTATAATATTCATCATATTCACTGATGTTATGTGGTTTTACCGATGAAAATGTTATAAGCAATAAAATACATACCTACCTAAACATCTTTCTAATATTTTTTAGGGGGGCAATGACTGGGTTTAGGGGGGGCAACGCCCCCCGTGGCTACGGGCCCGATTTGTACTTTTGTTTTCTATTATTTAAATAGGATTCAAAAAGTCTGTAAGGTTTGCTGACTATACCTATTGATGGTAGGGTACTTAATAGTTTGTCGTGTGAGATGCTGTCAAATGCTTTGCTCAAGTCCATGAATATTCCTAAAGATTTGCTTTTTTGTTCTAAATTGGTATATAAGTCTTTGGGAGTTGACCTGAATTATGGTCTTATTATTATAAATTTAGGTACCTATATTGTTTAATTTAAATTTTTTTATATTATAAGCTTCCTATATTATGGAAAATATTTTAACCATTCAATTAAATGTTAAATATTAAAAAATTATTTAATAATACGAGAATTTTTAACTTAAAAATTAAGCTTCTTATTATCAGGCCTCGTGCCTTCGTTGTGGAAATATTAGGTATCTATTCATTCCGTCTAAAGTGTCAAACGGCCAGGTCTCTGTTGACCTGCGGCTTCGTGAAATAACAAGTAGTTTAGTTATTATTTTACATGGATCGGTACAGTGAGTCTTAGGATCTGGTCACACTATAAAGGTTTGGCCGAGCGGTTGAAACCACGTAGATTTTGACGCGCGGTGTAAACGAACTACACTAGCGCGGCAAAACCGCTGAAGTTTATGTTCATTTGGAAATTAGATACCACAAAAAGCAGTTGTGTTTTCTAAATATTCATAATTTTAATACTTAATTAAGTTTTTTTATTATAATATTATATATATATTTACTATACTTAATAAGTATTACTTATACCATATTGTTAAAGTCATAAGTTTTAAATTATAAATATTTATTCTATAAAAACTTCAAAAAACATGGATTATGATCATTATATGCAAGTTATGAAAGTTATACAAGTTGCCAACTATTTTGGCTACTTAAACCCTCCGAAAAGAGATAGATGGTACTGGATTCATCCATATAAAACCCGAGAAGAAACTGGAAGATTTTTGAATTTTTATGAAAAAATTATATTAAATTCTGATAATTTTTTTACTTATTACCGTAAGTCGATTGCTTCATTTGATGAGCTTATGATGAAAATTCGACCTTACATCACCAAACAGGAAACGACATTTCGAAGTCCAATATGTGCTGAGGAAAGGCTTACTCTGACAATCAGGTAAAATTCGTTTATACAAATTAGCAATAAATAATAAATAATAAAATAAATTTTTTTTATCAAACTATGATAAATCTTTAATTTAAGCTGAATTCAATACATTTTCTTAGTATAATAATTAAATTAAATAACAACTTATTATTAAAATAACAAATATTAAAAAAATATGAAAGTACTTATTTCAAACAAACCCTTTAAAAATATTAAAATAAAAAATAGTTATAATCAGATTAAATTTAATGTGATCCTCTTCATTATTAGAAGTTACAGGATTATTAAGAGCAGCTGGGTATGAATAAGGTGAGAAGCTTGTTTGGAAATGTGGAAGAAATGCATTTGAAGGATGATGAATTAGATGATAAGTCAAATTTTGTTGGTTAGAATAGTCAGTATAACTTGGGTAGATAATATTATTGGGAGGAGGAGCTGTAATAATTCGTTTTACTGCATTCATAAATTCAAGTTTTAAATCCAACTTTTGGGTATCGTTCATTTTTTTAAGGTCTGGTAAAAAAGATAATACTCGTAAAAAAGCTTTATCGGCATCGAATTCCTCGGGGGGCTTAAGAGGGGGATTTTTCATAAATTCGACCAGAGTATTTTGAAAGTCTTTTGCCCAACTGTAAAGGGACTTCATGGCCGTGATTGTTGACCGGCCCGTAACAAATCCATGTTGGTTGCCGATTTCATTGAGGGAGGTTTCTCTTTCGACCTCACTAATTATGAGCGTTTCCAGGGCCTTGCTCATGGTAGGCAAGAGGCTAATGGGCCTGTACGACTTGGAACTGGTCTTGTTCTTTTTCCCGGGCTTAGGGATTATTACAAGGCGCGAAACCTTCCAACAATCCGGGAAAGTGGCATCTTCCAATCACCTATTCATAAGCTGGGTCATAGAGTCCTTAGCTATTGGCCACGCCTTCCTAAGAATGCCCGTGGTTATTCCATCAAGGCCAGGAGCTCTTGGCGGTTTCATTCTCCAAATTGCGTTTTTGACCTGCTGCTCTTCGACCGGGACATGCCGTTCGAGCGGCCCTTGTCTCAGAGATCCGTCTTCTTTGGTCAGAGAGCTTATGACCGCTTTGTTACGTGGACCGTTCTTAGCGTATTTAAACGCTTTGCCCCAGGTGTTAACATTAATATCGTCGGACATCTTCCTCCAAGATTCCATCTTGGCTCTCCTGATCTCATGGAGATAGTCATTTTTCAGACGGTTGTATGCCAGTCTGTCGTGTTGCATCAGTCCCCTGTCTTTTATTTGCGTTGAGGGTTTTCCTCATTGAAGTAAGCCTGTCTGACCACCATGGCTGCCTTTGAATGATCCAGCGCCTACTTGGCTTTGAAGGGATAGCTTTTGTTGCAGCTGCGATTATAGCGTCTGTTAAGGTAGAAGCATGTTCGTTTACGCCTACAGTTGTCTGAACTGACAGGACGCTTATAGCTAGTTCCTGGGAGAATGAGTCCCAGTCTGCCCTTCTAACATCAAATCGCTTGAACCCTTGTGATGTGTTCGGTGCTATGTCTACCGTATAGTTTAGTAGGCGATGATCGCTGTCGGTCACGTCACTAACAAGCCAGTTGGTGACGCCTCTCGCCGTGGCCTGCGTGCTGAGAGTGACATAAATACTGGAGGAGCCCATACCCTTTTGTACATAAGTCTCCATGTTGCCTGGGGTGTTATCCTAAGGTTAAAATCATCTATAAGGTCCTCAACTATTCGGTTTTGATCGGCGCTATGCCATCTTGGCGAGTGGCCATTGGTGTCGGCGCCAATTATGGTATCGGTACCGCCATCGAGAATCGTTCTCAATTTCTCTGTGAAATTATGCGTGGGCATGCTGTATTTGAAATAGGCCGATACAAGGATCACGGTTCTTGGTCCGAGACCAACTTTGATGACTGCTATGTGAGTCGAAACTTACTGAGTAAGCTCGATGGCCTGTAGGTCCGTATCCATTATTACAATAGCTGCACCTGGGGTTTCGGCTGCAACTACCCTACAGTCCTCAAAGCCGTATATTTTGCCACCCTGGGCGATGGGCTCTGTATAAGCGCTATATTGATCTTATTTTGAGCGCAGTAGTCCCGCAGCTGAAGCGAGGCTGCTCGTTGTCCATTTAAATTTAGTTGTGCTATTTTGATCATCCGGAACCAAAGTCCGTTCGCCTTAGAAGGCTACGTGCTGCCTGACTCCTGGCCTTATATGCTGCGCTGGATGCTTTATGAGGACCTTTGCAGTTTGCGCACTTCACCGCTTCCTCTTTGCACGCGTGGGAGTCGTGGGCGCCTGCTCAGTGCCTGCATGTTGGTGCCTTTTGTTCGCACCTCAGCGACGTATGGCCATACTGTTGGCACTTGTAGCACTGTGGAGTGGAACTGTGCACTTTGCACCGGCAGCGGGTCATACCGATATATACGGACTTATTTTCTAATTTTACTATAACGTTCGGAGGCGCTCCGATGACCCAATGGACAATATCACCGTCTCGTGGGCCCAGCTTGTGTAATGGAGTCATACACCCCACATCTTCCGCGGTTAGCCCGAGTTCTGGGTTCTGACCCAGAAGGCACTCGGCTAGCTCTTCCTTCGTTATCCCGCTCTCCACCCGACCTCACCGTTTCCCAAACTCCTGCCTGGCCACTGTCATACCACTTGGTATTTCAATCATGAAGCACGTCGTAGCTTTTACCTTTCTACTCTTTGAAAGCTGCTCCTTTTCACTGGCCTTTTTCGACTTAGGCGCAGTGGCGACCGCAGCTTTCGGTGCGCTTGCAACCTTGGTGGCGTATGTTGGCTTTGAGACAGACGCTTGGCTGGACACCGGCCCTGAGTTCTTGAGCGCTTCTAACTCAGCCTTCAGGTTGTTGGCTTCAGCATTTTTTGAGTCAAGCTTGTCAATGAAGCACGTGAGGCTCATTCTCTTTGTATCCTATTTACCCTTCAGCTCTCCTTGTAGCCTACTGTTGTCTTGCGTTAAGCCAGTCGTGACGACTCTGAGCTTCGCAAGTTTACCCATCATCTTTTCAGAGATGAGGACTCCCTGCTTTTTCCCTTTCTCTTGCATAACTGTCTGTTCAAGCCATCCTAAGAGGTCGTTAAGCTCTTTAAGTTCAACTGTCTTATTAGCTGTCTTTGGCTGCTTAGAGCTTTGCACGTCCGGCTAAGGCGGGCCGCGCTTCTGGACACCGCCTGCCGTTACCATGCTACCACTAGTGCCTTTGGCATCTGTCATTTCAACGACGTTTTCGTCGTCCTCATCACCACCTCCCCTAAGTCTGAGAGCGTCAGAGTAGCAGTGTCTGTTTGTTATCGTATCTTCTTTATCTTTACATGTCCGGGCCAAGTTCGTTTTCACATTTTTGGTGCCTCCGCTTGATATAGACCCCAGGGACGAGCACAGCTCCCTGTTGCCTGCTGGGTTGTCTGTAATCCGATCAGATCGATTTTTCTTTTGTTGTGTGTACATATTTAATTGTTAGTTGGGGGGTTGCCCCGTGTAGCCCTATACACTCTGGCCGCCGGCGGGCTAAATCGGCGGTTGCATTTACATGCCACGGGTTAGAAGTCCGGAGTCGGCCTACTCCAGACAGTTTGAAAGCCTCTTAGCGAGCTAAGTTGGGCGGGGTCACCACGGCAAGATGGGCTTTCATCGACCCCGTTAAGTAATACAGCAGTTGTTTTATAATATGAACAAATTTAAAAAAAATAAGGATATTTATATAATAAACGGTGCCCGGTTAATTGAATTAATATAATTTAAATGCTTATAATAAAAATTTAGCCTATGTATTTTGAATATTTTTCAACTGCTAACAACTAGAAAAACTTATGAGAAATCTTGTATTAAATTTTAGATGAATTTCTAACTCTATGAATTTTGTCAAAATTTTGTTTATAAAAAATTATTGTAGACTTTTTTTTTAAAATTATTTTTAATTTCATATGCCTTTAAATAGCTTTACATGAGTCAAAATATTTTGCAAATTTTATACACAAAGAAAAAAAAAATTTAAAAAAAACAGGAAATTCAAATTGCTCCACTCAGAACCTTAAATTGTTTTAATGATATTTATTTGGCTTTGTTGTTAGAGGTCCTAATTTAATCTTGTATATATTATATATGTATATTTAAACAAATATGTATATATAAACAAATAAAGCATATTATATTTATTTATATCATTTTAATAACATGTTAAATTAAATAATTTGTAATTATTGTTTACTGCAGCTGAAGATTTAAAAACAAAATAGGAAAAACATAAGAGATAACTATACAAGGTCCATAAACAAAGAGTGGAACTGAAGCTAATTCAACAATAACATATGCATATGGAGATGTACTATCTTTTCTGATACCTGTGGTAAAAAAAACGAAAGTGAGTAAAAATTTAAAATTTATGATATAAGAATAACATTTTAAATATGTATGTATATTTAATAATTTAATATGTTCCACATTCAGTGTTATACACAAATTAAGGGGGATGGTCGGATTTCATACATTATAATTCATAATATGCAAGGTTGGACAAAAGATTTGAAACAATATAGTGGTATATTTTAAAACATAAATGTTTAAATAATGTGTTTTAGATTTTGAGATATATTCAAAGTATATGACCGTATCTATATATGTATTAAGGAATAAAGATAAAAGAAGTAACACAAGAAAGACAAAATTCTGGTTTTTTTAAATTCTGAGAGGAGCAGTGAATGTATTGATTATACAATTAAGTGTTTTTTTTAAAAATTCTCGTTTTTCCTTAATTTTTTTTTTTATTTTTCTCTGCGCTTTTGAAAATTACTGGGAATTTTAAATTTTGACCTCCCCAACGCACCAACTAGATTCACTTCTCCATCGAAGAAGATACTGTAGTTTAAAATCAAAGAATTATTTTAACTACTTATCGTGTACAGACACAAATAAAAAAAAAATTTAAAAAAAACCACTTAATTGACCGATAAAGGCGAGTGGACTAAGATAATGATTCCATCGGTAGTTGGAAGGTATCACCTGCCGATGGAAATGGACCATTACACTAGCCAAATCCTCACAGGCCACGGCGACTTTAGTGAAAAACTGTTCGGGTTCAAGCTAGTTGATTCGCCTACGTGCGATGCCGGGGCTCTGAGACAGTCGCGCACGTTCTCTTGAAGTGCAGACGCACGACCAGTCAGAGGGAAGAACTAAAACAAGCGCTACGTAGGGAAGACTAAGAATGGCCTCCTGAAGATGGAGTGTTCCTCAGAACCAAAGCACTGTACGAAGCATTGAGGAAGTTCGCAAAAGACAGCCTAAGTAACAGAACAGACAGATGAATTGCGGAGTCGCATAGCCGGAACGCAGCCACCACTGTTGGTGATTATTCACTACAGGTGGTAGGCTACAGACATGGGGTGTTCCGAATGTGCCAGGACGGCGAAAGCGGCAGAAACGGGGGGCACGCTCATGTGCTTTCCGGCAGGGCCTAGCACATGCGCCAAGGGCGTGGAGTTCAGCCCTGGTGCTGGGGCCGCCCCGAATTCATCATCAGTGTTCCCTGCTTGTCGTAAGAGGTGACTAAAAGGGAAATGGCCGGACGGGGCCGGCGTCTGGGACGCGGACACACCGAAACCTCTGGGGACTAGGGTGTTGGAGGTTCTGACGGCGACCTCGTGAAGAGCGAGTCGATCACCTCGGTGATACCTCCGGGTGGCGTGGCAAAGGCTACCGAGCCTTGAACTCGGGGGTCGCGGCGACCGCTACTGGTAAGGGCCCACCGTGAGCCCGTGATACACGATCCTAATCTCGGTAGGACCACAGCTGAGGCTCTCAGTCGACGAAGCTCGGTCCAACCATCCCACCATTGATGGGCCTTCATAACGGGGGTGTGAATGGTACTTCAGGATGTGGGGGGGGCGCGGCGTCGAGTTAATTGACGCCGTGCCTTCACACGGCAGTCGCGCACCGGCCTCGGTCGTGACGCGATCGACGGCGGTTTGGTTTCGGAGTGGCTGTTAGCGGGAGCTAACCTTGTGGTTATAAGACCAAAGTACGGTCTAATGGAAGGTTGCCGAGTGAGAAACTCCTTAACGCTCACCCAGCCTACCGGTGTAGCTAAGTGCACCGGAGGTTGCCCGTAACCAAAAACGGGAAGCAATGAGGATAGCTTGCGACCCGACCAGGGTGGCGAAGGGCACGTGCACGCCTTAGCCAACGGTACGGAAACACTCTCACGACTTCGGTGGGAACGGGAGTGCGCCCGGTGCTCGTGGTCCACAGAAAGGTTGAGAGTATTATATAATTGTTGTATACACCTTATCAAATATAAATATAGTACACAATATAATTAACGAACCATTATGAACTGTAATCACAATCTGATTACATGAGTAGTTTGATTGTATGTCATTACCTGTTCGACCGTTTAACGTGTATTTCAGGCAATTTTTGTGAGTACAATATTAAGTGTTTTCGAGATTTTTTTTTACAATGGAAGTCGATACAAAAGGTAAGTTAAATATTTTATGATTAATATATTTTTTAATTTAATTATAGGTTCAATAGACTAAATCAAACTGGTAAACTTGAATTTTTACTTCATTATTAAACTTCAATGGAAGGTCTTTTAAAAGTAACTAATAGTAACTATTCACGAGTAATATCCTCTTATAGTACAACTTCTTATAGATTAAATGGTATAACTTTCATTTGCAGCCATTTGCAGCTGTAGTTTTTATTTTTATTTTTACAGCTGGTTCTAGTGTAGAGAAAAAAATCAAAAATTACACATATGAAGATTTCTTTAAATGTTTGCGTGATGTAGGCCCTTTTAAGCCTCAAAGTATTGAATCCAGGCTATTTATTTTAAATTTATTAAAAAATAAATATAATGGAGAACATTGGGACAGTATGTATGAAAAACTTGTGATGGAAAAAATTCGTAGTTTTGCAGTAATTTTGACAAGGTTATGGTCTAAAAGTGATAGAAAGTTGAGTAATTTATACAAAAATAATAAACAGTGGCTTGAAACAGAATTTATAATGCCAAATATTCAACCCTCAGATCCTTCTACTTCATGTTTATCAGTTGGCCGACCACCTAAGGCATTTGCTGAATGTACCGAAAGATCGAAAAATAGAAAAATTAAAGGTTTATTAAAATCATATTCGTCCCCAGAAATAGTTTATGCTGCTCAGAGTAAATTGAAAAAATCGGGTAAGAAAAACACTGCCATGTTATTAAAATAATCTTTAATTACACCGACTAGGTCAACAAAAATAAAAAAAGCTTATTTAAGTTCTCTATCGATAAGAATAACACCCTACACAGCAGATGAGGCATTAGCTTTTATTTTAGATAATAATTTGACAAAACAGCAGTACATAAACATAAGGAAATCGGCAAAGTTACGCAATGCCAAAATATATCCAAGTTATGAAAAAAGTTAAGATTCGAAAAAATTTTTGTTATTCCATGATTATAAATATTCAGAATAAATAATTATTTTAATGTAATAGAAAAAATGTAATTTCTTTAATTCTAATACATTGTTAACTTAATTATACTAACTAACATTAACTAAACAACATTAGGAAAACATATTGTAAATAAAATAGTTTTGTGCGCCTAAAATTGCATTTCAGACCACTGCGGGCCGGCGGGTAATTATCCGCCGTACGCCGAGCGTGAACCTCCGTGGCTCTCGAATAGCGCACAGCGCTAATGTGAGGTCCACGGTTGTAGCCGCAAGTCATCAAACCCGGGAGTCTTCGTGCTGTATTACTTAAAACGATGTTATAGATATTTATCAATTGGTACACATTTCGTTGCACTACAGTATGAATTTCTGTTGGGAAGGAGTACTATTAACACAATTATACGAGAGACCTGTCAATCTTTATGGACCATTTTGCAACCAGAAGAAATGCCTGAACCTAATAATAATCAATGGTTAGATATAGCAAATAAATTTTATATTGAAACGAATTTTTCAAATTTAGTAGGGGCTGTAGATGGAAAGCACATTTGCTGTATTAACCCAAAAAATAGTGGTTCCATGTTTTTTAACTACAAAAAATATTTTTCTATTCTTCTAATGGCAGTTGTTGATTCCGAATATTGTTTTGTGTCTATCGATGTTGGGGCGTATAGTCGAGAAGGCTATTCTTCAGTCTTCAAAGATTCTCCGTTTGGAAAAAAACTTTATTCGGACCAATTAAATCTTCCGGCCCCTGCTTGTTTACCCAATACAACTGATTCTCCGCAACCTTACGTTATCGTAGGAGACGAAGCATTTGGATTGCATAAGAATTTATTAAGGCCATATCCAGGATGTGGTCTTAACCCAACAAGAAGAGTTTTTAACTATAGACTGTCCCGTGCTCGAAGGTTAGTGGAATGCGCCTTTGGTATTCTTGCAAACAAATGGAGAGTTCTACACAGTCCACTTTTAGTTGAACCAGACTACGCAGACGACGTAGTAAAAGCTTGTTGTATTCTTCACAACTATATTCGAAGAAGAGATGGTTACAAATTTGAAGATACTCTTTCTAATGTGATTTAGGACTTTGAAAATAGCGGAGAAGCAGGAGCTCGTCCGCAAGGTACGCAAGTACGCGACTATTTTATGGGCGCCGGGTCAGTAAACTTTCAATCTAGGTTTTCTTACTAAACTATTGAAGTTATTACAATATCAGTCTAATTATTATACTTAAAATTACAATATTAATTTTTTTTTTTATATAGTATTAACGTATTGTAAAATAATTTATTTAATTATCTTTCATAAAGATATGAAATATTTTTTTATTAACTACCTATAGGTACTGTTTAAATTTCATTTATTATAATAAACGTTTTATTACACTAGTAATTAATACTTGATTGTTCAAAAATACAAGTAAGAATCCGTGTCTTCAATAATGTCTAACTAATTTAAAAAATATAGAACGTAGGTACTTACTTTTAATTCTTTTTTCATTCTCGTCGTAGTTTTCCCATTCTTCAAACAAATCACATCCAATATCATTCCATGCCCTCAATTTGGCATGCTTGTCAGCATAATCTTTGCAACTTACTTTCCACAGGCACTCATGTTTCTCCACACTTACAATAAACATTTCTCACATTTCTGTATCAAACACACTCATTTTTTTTTATTTAAAAAAAATTAATAAGTAATTCTACCGCGCGTCTTTATAAATAGATATGGGTTTTTATTAAGCAGCGGAACCGCTATAGTGTGACCGGGCCCTTACGGTTGCGTCATCCTGGTTTATGCGAACGATCATTGTATGCGAACTATGAATTCCGGTATGATGTTTTTTACAGTATGATGGGGATATTTATACATAGTAGTTCAGACAATGTAAGATATTGTAGGCCAAGCTGTACACAGCGCGTCATCATCCTAGAACCCGCGTACATTGGACGGCTTAACGGTGTTTCTTCTCGCCGTAGCTGGTGTTCAAGAGAGGGAAATAGCTACTAAAAATCTATGGTAAGCAGTGATGTAAAAATACGGTATTATATTTTTCATTTGTATAATACGTGTATTATACAGTATTAAAAAAAAATTGTTTGGTGCTTACATTATTGCTAAATATAGTTATTCAAGTATAGTACACAACTAGTATAGTATCAAAACTATTGAAGTTTATTGATGAATAATGATCCATTTTAAATACTTATTAAATTAAATAATGGTAGTGTAACGAACATGTTCGTTACAGTAGTTATGAGTTGGGTAATAAATAATAATAAATACATAAAAATATTGTTTCTAAGTTTTTAGTATAAGGTTTTAATATTTTTAGTCATTAGAAATAGACAAATAGTATTTAATTAATTAATTTGTAAGTGTTTACTGTGGTTACACAACTACTTAGATCCCCCAGAACTATAGTTTTAATAAATAAAGACTTTTTCAAAAAGAAACAAATTTTATTATAAAATATAGAAACATAAATTAATAACTTTTTATACAGTTTTCAGGAACTTTTGAAACTATTAGTCAAAACATTATAAATAATTAACTGTTAATAATATATAATAACAAAAAATTAAATAACAAAAAAAAAAATAATAATAACTTGTTCTTCTTTTCTTTAAAAAAATATTCAATAAAATATAAAAATTACCAATATTTATTTTTAATACTCTTTATTTTTGTTAATTACTGCCTGAAAAATTATTCTGTCTCATCAGGATCAATTTGAATATCTTCTTCTAACTCATCTTCTTCATCTTCTTCATCTGAATTATTGATCTCCAGATTATTATCTTCAAAACATTCTAAATCTTCACCATCACTTTTTTGTAGCTTTAGATTGTGCTTAACATATACTAATTTAGAAGCTCTATCCGTGGTTAATCTATTCCTTTTTGCTGTATGCACTAGTTCATAAGTCGAAAAAGATCTCTCTGTTGAAGCTGAGGTAGGTGGACATTGTAAAATGGCTGATGCAACTGTTGCTAAATTTGAAGACGAACAAATTCCATTCCACCATGTTATTATGTTCATTTGATTACCATCAGTTTTAGCATTTAGACAATTCCACACAAAGTCTCTCGCCCATAAACCACTATTAGTTCTATAGTTTGCCAAATCACATAACACATCAGCTTGGGGTAAATTAATTTACTTTGCAAAAGAATAAATAAATTGTGAAGCTTCTACGCTTTCTTCTTTAGTCAAATATTTTCCCTTGTGTCTAGCATCTAATAAATGTAATCTACTAAATTAATTTGTTCAATTGCCATTTTTCTTCTTTTTTCTATGCATGATAAAAGACCTTGTTGTTCTTTTGTTACTGAAACTGAATTTTTTATTTTTTCATCAATTTGATGAAACGCACAGACAACATCTGATAAATTACTAGTCTCAGACTCTAAAGTTTTAATCCGTATCGAAATAAGTTCAAGTATGCTAGTAAGTTTTTCAACTTTTGGCCAAAATACCTCATTGTCTAATATTTTAACTGAAGAATTTTCACTCAAATATTTAATAGCTTTTGGAGAAATAGCTATTTGTTGCAAATATTGTTTGTTAAAAATAAGGCTCTTTAAACATTGCACATTTGAGCCCCAACGGGTCACAATAGGTAACTTGAGTGTTATTTTTTTCAAAGTTTTATTAGGATCAGCATTTTGAAATTCTTTTAAAAGTGAATTTAATATGTGGGACTGTTTGAATTCAACACAAATTTTTTTAGCTGAAAGTGCCCCAGCAGTTAAAAAGTATTCAACTGCATTAGATCTTCATTAAGTAAGTTTAACACATGAGCAGCACAGCCATAATATGAAACGTTTTCATCTTTATATTTTTCCTTAAGAATTTTCCAAGAACAAGTCATATTTTTAGCATTATCTGTGACAACAGATATAATTTTCTTAATGTTGACCTGGCTAAATACATTTTCTATTATACTAGCCATGTATCAGTGTCAACAATTTTAAAAATTACAGGTTCTGGTGTAGTCAGTATAACATTTATGATAGGTTCTTGCCTATAATTAGAAAATTATATTTTTAATTAAATGTATTAACAAAAAATACTTATTACCTACCTAATATTACTCCATCCATCCAACTGAAGAGATAAAAAACGAGCTCTGTTAATATTTGACGTAACTTTATTTTCAACTTTGTTATATTCTGCTTCTAAAAGTTTGTTCGATAAATGATACCGCGTAGGTAATTTTAAACATGGGCGGATTTTTTTAAATGCTTTTTGCCAATAAACATTTTCGGTAAGACTCAATGCTGTCCCAAATGCATAGCAAGCTCTAGCAAGAATTTCCCAAATGTCTTCCTATAAATTATAATACATTAATACTACTACTTTAGTTCTACTAAACAAGTAAATAAATAATATTATTAGTGATTAGGTAGTTACCTGTTCTTGTGTATTAATGAGGCGATCAACATATCCATCCAAAGTTCTTGTATTTGATTCTCTTGAAATCTTATTTGAAAAAGTTGTTAGTTTAGTTGCATTTGAATTATTCTTAAAAATATTTGTGTTTGATGTAGTAATAGAATGAGCAGGAATATGTTGATCAATAATTTTATCGGAATCAATACACAAATTTTGTACTAAATCTTGATTTCCAATTACAAGTTCAAAATCCTCATCATTTTGATCATTTTTTAAAAAGGCCGGTATAATTGCACCCAAATTATACGAAGATGTTGTTTCAGTGCTACTATTTGAAGTGAAACTAACCTCTTCACAGTTGTTTAATTTAAACAAAGATGCAATTTTCACTTTTTCATTTTGGAATTTGGAATCCGTTTTTTTGCATGTTAATAAATGCTTAGCCGGGGGACGATGTGGCCGAGCGGTCGAACACGTCGTCTGCGGCGCTGGCGGTCGCGGGTTCGATTCTCTCGACCATTGGGCGGCATTTTTCTCCGGGCAAGTCACAGTGTCCGGAGAACAAGTGCCGCCATCCCCCACTCCGGGGCATGGCAGAAACCTACGGGTACACACGTGTAATAACCCTACAATTTCAAACCCTACTACCTACAATCATAAACCCTACAATCAAGCTAATGGTGCCACCACGCACCATTCCAAAACTTTTGAGTGTTTGTGTGTTCAATCCATTTTACATTTAAAATATTGTTCCACTGAACTTCAATTTTACCAATTTGATCATTTTCTAATTGCATTAGGTTAGTTAATGGTGTGATTGGTTCTTTTATTAGGCTTAGAGTATTTTTTATTGAAAGAACTGAAATATTTTCAAGAATCTGAATGTTATGGGGAAGTCTCTGTTGTAGCTGTTTAAAAAGTAATATAAAAAACTTTTTACACCGATTTCTTGATTGCATTTCTTCATTTGAATCCATTTTCATATCTTTAACTTTATTTTCAAACATATTTCCCATGTATGGTTTAGAACATACAAAACTTTCAATGTTTTTACATGATAACAAATCTTCTCTACATGTTGGACTTACTAATTTTTTTCCAACTGACTTAACTAAATTGGTCAAATCGGATAGTAATTTGTTGAATCTGCTGAATTTGATTTAAACTACTTGCTTACCAACTGTACCTCATATAAAATAGGTTTTAAGAAATGTAAGTAAGCCAAATTTGTTTCATCATTATATATATTATACAGAACTTCAGCGGTGTAGCAATGCTCTTTAAATCTAACTATATTAAATAATGTTTTCAATTCCAGCCATTGATCCAAAATTCTACTTATGGCGGATTCTACTGACAACCATCTAGTATCACAAGACTTTACAATCTTCAGAGGATTATGGCCATCGTTTATTGTTTTATACAAAGTTTTATACTCATTTTGTCTTAATGACGAATGAGAAAACCAATTAAAAGTTTCCTTTATTAGAAAATCAATATGTCTGGGAAATGATTCAACTGCAGCTGCTGAAACAGCTAACTATAGAGAGTGACAAACACATGGTACTAATATAAGTGAAGGAACATCATATTTTAGCTTCTTATATACCCCATTCACTCCAACCATCACTGATGCATTGTCAGTTCCAATGCCTACTAACTTGTTTAATGACAGCCCTTTATTG